TCGTTGTTGTCTGTAGTTTTTTTAAATGATATCTTAAAATTTTACTCCTTTCTCTTTGAACTTCTGTTAAGTCATGACAGATCGATACATTTGTTCCTTTGAGATTAGAACAGTTTTTAAGGGGTATATGTCGTTAATGTGTTCTGGTTTTACTGGAATATTTACCAAATTAGTTAATTTTTCGCACACCTCTTCAACTGTTACAGTTTCTAATTCTAATTGTTGTTTTATCCCAAATACCATTATTTTTCTTATTTAATCGTTCTAGGGATTCCACTTTATTTCGTAGTTCTATATTTTCTCTTTCTAATTTTCTTATTTTTTCATTTAAAAATTTAACTTTTAAGAGTATATTGACTTAGGAAGCTTCTATAGCATTCCTTAGATCCTTTCTTGTATTTACAATTTCATCAAATAATGTTTGCAATGTAATTTCGATTTTAGACATATTTTTGTGTATGGACTGCTTATCTTAATCCGAAATATTAAAGGATATTGGTTAGGTTATATTTGTTTTGATTGTATTCTTGTATAAAATCAATTCATAAGAAATATATTATACGCTAGTTTTTCATCTAATATTTAAATCTTGTCTTCAAATTGATATTTATGTGTTTAAAGATATTTAATTGTGCTTCTTACTCATTGAAATATACTTATTGCCTTCAATTACACACTTCACTTATAGGCAACCATGCACTATTTATTTAGCTTGTCACTTTTTTAATAAAATATTCTCGTACAGATTTTATATTTTTCTCAAAATATATTAATATTTGACCCCGTTCTAAGCCAAATCTTAACATTTTCCACTATAGAATTTGCAGGTAAAATATAATCTTTTCTTTGTGAATCATCCTGTATAAGTAAACAATAATTTAAACTGCCAAAGCCCACTTTGAACTGTTTAAATTTTACAATTTATGTGAGTATTTAAATATCAATTTAGTTATTTTGAGGTTTAACTGATCCTATTTATTTAAAAAATAGTCCATCAAAATTATAATTGAAGGGGTAAGTGGATGAATGGGTCATGTGACTTTTTTAATTCTATTTTTTGGTTGATGTAGAATTAATTAAGTTCATATGTGTCTTGCTTTGGTCTGGTCTTGTGCGTCTAATTAGTTCATAATTACTCTTACTAACTCACAGAAACGCATTTTAAAGACATTTCTTTCACTAAAAATGCCAATGAATTTAATTAAATAGTTAATTGCTCAAAATAGTTATTTATGCAACAAGTGTGTAAAGTTACCCTTTTTTGACGAATGTGAATGTTGTCGCACGAGCCGTAGGCGAGTGCGACAGAGTCAAAAAAGGGACTTTACACACGAGTGGCATACAATATTTTTTCTACTACCGTACACATAAACCACTAATATTAGAAATATAAAAGTTACTTTTTTTCACTAGTGAAAAAAAGTAAAATGTGCCAAAAATTGTACACAGCAACAAAAATAAATTTATTGGAACTTGACAAATTTATAATTCTTACAGAACAAAATGACCAACAAATGAAGAAATATTTAAAAAAATAGGTTTTTAACTCTTATGAATATTAATATTGAATGTGCAATTATTGCAATTACCAAAACTTAAGGTTTTGGCCTTTTCCAGCACAGAGTTTGAAAAATGTTGTGATATTACTTCTGTAACCCTATTTCGAGCTTCGAGTGGTATGGATTTGGCCTTTTCAACTAAAGAAGTTGAAATATTTTGTGTAACTCTAGTTTCACTGTCGAGTGGTTCCACTAATTCTTCATTAGAGTTGTCAACGGTAAAATTGTAGCTTTGTTTGGAAGTGGATGGCATACTGTCATCCATCAAAATTTTATTAGAAATTTTGTTTTTTTGTGTTATTGTGCTGTCTACGTAGCCTTCTGCAACAGCAGATGATTTCCATCCTCCATGTTTTTTGACCGTTAGAAGGACTCCTCCAGAATTTGCCAGCATAGTGGCTGAAGACCTCCTAAAGCAGTGTCCTGTAAAAGCCGTTGGATTGGGCAAGTTTAGATACGTTGCTATAACACTTGGCATTTTACCAAAAGTATTTATCCCTACAGGCTGTTTAGAATATTTTCCATTTGCGAATTTTAAAAAAAAATCTGTTACAATTTATATTTGATGGTCTTAATGAGGTATATTTTTTTATGAAAGATAAATAATCAACTGCAGAATTATCTGGATTTAAAATCGTAAAAATGCGTTCTATTCCATTTTTGGTTTCTGATACTTTGACAATATACACTGTTTGTTTATCTTCCACATCGTTAATTGTCATTTTACATAATTCTTCCCGGCGACAAGCTCCCGCAATTCCAATTATAAAAGCTACCTAGAAAATAACATATTGTAATGTTACAAATAATTTATTAAACATTAGGAAATATCTTGACGTTGCGCATGTAAAACTCCAAATAAATGCTATTGTAAAAAATATAAAAGTTTTAGGTATAATGTGCTGCCTAACAACCCCGGTGGCCTGTTAGGACAGCAACTGATTTTGTTAGGCAACACACCATACGAACACACATCTCGTTGCAAAACTTTACAGAATATTTTAATTTTATACTGAGCATTCAAGCATTTACTGAGGCATTTACTTACTTTGATCATTAAAAACTTGGAATCTGGAGCTTTCAACAGAAAATTAATTAGATCTTCTCGTTTAAAAATTTTGGATTTTTTTGGTTTATAACCTTTATTTTTTTGTTTGAGAAACGCTATTAACTTGTTGAATTTCGAAATATCAACGTTGTTTTTATATTTTAAGGTGCTTTTAAGCATAGAATAAATCGACCATAGGGTAGAAGCTTTGCAATTCTTCAATTCATCAGAGAAATATGCTAAAATAACGTTTTTCTACACCCGTATTATAATAATGCACTTATATGCCCATAATCCGTTTCATAATGATACCCATTATGATACAGATTTTTCATTACGATACAGATTTTTATTCAATAGAAACCTACAATTTTTCAATCAAGCATGCTGTTTGACGTTTGTCCTAGGTTCCTATGTAATTATTTTAGTTGTCAAAACGTATTAAATTTTCGTAGGTAGCTAAACTTCGATAATTATAATATTAAAATGTCTGTTATTAGCGATATAGAAGACTCATCCACACATATTGGAGAAAGCAGAAAATACAGTACAAAATATTTTACCGCAAAAATCTAGGGAAATACCAATACCTGAAGTAATACCATTAATTACAATTTTGTAGAATTTTTTATAGAAATACGAGTAATTACTGTTATTGTGTTCAATACCAATATAAATATAATATTTATAGGTCTTGATTATTTATCGGGTGTAGAAAAAATAGCGTATGCAACTCTCATGTAATGGTTATTACATGATCGTTGCATAATATACTATTTCCGAATATTTTGTCACCTTATTCTTCCTACACCATTCTATTTTTGCTGATAAATATATGCAGACTTTTCTGGCAATAAATTTTCAGTGGCCTTTTGTGCACTGCATAAGATATCTGGGGGAGTATTATCAAATTAGCTATCGCTAGATAAATTTGAATCCATATCGATTATGACAGATATAATAAACTGCAAATAAAATTTGAATTTAAGTAAACAAACATTAAAAAGTAAAACTTTTTGCCTTCTCAAACTTGATTGAGTTTAAAAAAATGCTAAATTGGCTTTAGAATCTAATCTTGAACTTAAGTATACTTTTGTCGTGTTCTGTTATAAGGTAGGTACTAATTAAAAGTTTAGAGATTGACAGTTCTTCTAATCCACACAGCCACGGCCAACTTATTTTTACCAAAATCGACATCCACTGTATGTTTACTTTTAATTAAATCGATGACATTTAGAGAAAATTATAATTAAAATAAATTGTTGATAATTTGTTGGACACTAAATAGATATAAGCAAAAATAATTTATTTATTTGTCTTAGAAGGAGATAGCAAAAAAATGTTAATATAAAATAAAACGTTATATTTTGTTGTTATGTACAAATTTTGTCAAATTTTACTTTTTTTAACTAGTGCGTAAAGAGTTTTACTTTACGCACTAGTGAAAAAAAGTACAACTTTACACACTTCGTGGAGTGCGTAAAGTACGTACTTTACGCACGGTAGTAGAAAAACTTTTTTATGACATAACCCCTTCATCCACTTACCCATTCAATTATTTACATGCCTTCAGGGATTATATTATTTTCATCACTTTCAAAGGGCCTCCAAAAAGTCATTTTTTTATAAACCAAAAATCCAAACAGTAATATGAATACAACACTGGATAAACAAATATTGTCCATCTATGCTCAGTCAACATGACGATAACGCATAGAAGCGTCCCAAATAACCAATTAGAACATGAGTTGAACTAAATCGCAGAATTACTATTGGATATCCCAGTTCATGTTGACCGGCTTTTCTTACAGGTTATCTTGGGCTACAGCAATTATAAATTTGAGAAAGGCTCGATTCGACCAATAGGAGACGCTAAAATTAAGGTGTTATAATTAATCGAGCCGACAAATTCTCATCGTACAGCGTTGCCAGGCATAAAATATTTATTTGACACTCGGTTCCAGCATATTTGCTCGAAGGGTACTATGCGTTTAACGTACACAGTCGTTTAGCTATAATATAATTGATCGCACCATTTTATTTTTGCAGTTTGACAACTGTGTTTTCTAAGCTGAACGTCGGAGGTGTCTTTGTACATTTTATATAGATATACCTATTAATAATACAAATTTTTTTTAAATATTTTGAACTTGTAGATACTTTTTCCAGAGGAGCTAAAAGCAAATTGCTATTTTTACTAAAAACAAGTTTTTACTATCTTTCCCATAAATTATGCCAAGTAGGGAGTTCTTAATTTGGTCATTTAAGTTTTCCCTTCGTACCTAGAAACGGGTTTAAGCATTTTTTGATATCATCTTTAATTCATGAGATTTAGTAATTGTAAGTTTTTAAATTGTGACTCTGCATATACATTAAAATAATTATTTTTACAGATATAAAAAGCGCATGCAGGCTATGCTAGATGAAGATGACGATGTGTACCATGCTATTGCTTCACATAACTACTCGATGGATAATTCAGCACTTAATATGTCTATACCAGCTTCTCCTGAAGTGGCATAATCTATTCTTATTTAATTTATGAAATTAAAAATCAAATTGTGATATGATCATTGGTTGTATTTTTTTCGTATTAAAAATAAAAAACCGAAGTATATATTGTAGTTTCTTATATAAATATATAGGTAAAATAAAAAAAAAATGGACTAGGTATACCCAAACACAATACGTTTGTTTCAAGTAAGAAAAAAATTGTATTTTCCAATAAATGAATTAATTTTTAATATAAAAAATTAGCGATGTCTTTATACGTAAATACAGGGTGTTCTTTAATAACATGCTAATATTTAAGGGGTGAATCTTGGGCACATTTTAAGAAAAAAAAAATGTATGGACGTATGTCCTAAACCTCCTAACCTTTGAGATACAGGGCGGTATTTAAAAAAAATAAAAAAATTTATAATAACTGTGATACTATTCTATGAATCAAGATGTATTTTCTGATGTAAAAACAATTTTATTATTTGTAGCAGTGGCGTCTGTACGGGTTTTGCATTGAATATTTTTGGAGAAAAAATGGTACGCCACTGCCTATTCTTGAAATAAAAATTATTTTTGCAATCCTCATTTATTTTTGGGCAAATTTGGTCTCATCGTTTTACTTCAGGGTAAAATCTGATGCGGTGACTGTTGCGTAGAAATCGCTCTTTTCTTTTTCCACGCTATTGAGTTCATTTCATATCAAATGTTAAATAATTCAGAAGTAAGTAAGCAAGTGCCAATAATAACACTGATAGATACATAATTTGTGACATGAAAATTTTTAGGTGTTTCTAATGCAGTTTGATACCCTGAAGTCAAATCTGAAAACAGAATTTTTCAATCACCCACAGATATTCTGTAACCTGCGGCTTTAGGTTTTATAATACGTAAAATTTCATTATATTGCATCATCTCATATTTTCATATGATCAGGGATCTATCCGGTTTAGACCGGTTTCTGCCTGCTTGTTCGACGTTTTTGAGTTCACATTCTTTTACATTTTGTAAATTACTGTGTTTAAGATTTTTAGGTATAATGCCTAGGCAGTGCGTAAATAGTGCCAACAGTTTTTGTTATGTGGGCGGAGAACTAACTTTTAAATATCAAAAACGTAATTTTACTCCGCTTGTGTTAAAAGCTTACAAACTGTATTTTGGTGTTAAAGTTGGGTACCAAGACAAAGCATGGCCTCTCATATCTGTTGTAAAACTTGTGTAACATTGTTAACAGCTTGGTTAAAAAGTTCAAATCGTAAAATGCCCTTCGCAGTGCCAATGGTTTGGAGAAAACCCTAGACTGCTATTTTTGCCTCACGAATATTATAGGTATTGGACCGAAGTTTAAACATACGGTTAAGTACTGTAATTTACCATCAGCTTTAAGTTCTGTCAATCACAGCGAACAACTTCCTATTCCAAAAGCACCAGAATCTTGAAGTCTCGATGAAGAACTAGAATCGACTGGTTCTTTAAGTGATGTTACAGAAACCGCAAAGGAAATGACAACCGATTCTTTATTTGATTTACCAGGATGTGTAACAGCGCTGCATCTAATTTCACAGGGTGAACTTAATGACTTAGTTTGAGATCTAATCCTTTTAAAATCGCATTCCGAACTTTTAGCATCCAGACTAAAAGGTTGTAATCTTCTCCAAAGTGATGTAGATTACTTTTTACAGAAAAAGGCAGTAAGACCTCACAAATTGCTTTTTTCAAGAAGGGGATTTAGTATACTGTTCAGAAGTTAACCTTTTGTTTAACGCACTAGGACAGAAACATGATCCACGTAATTGGCGTCTATTCATTGATTCCTCTAAACTTAGTTTAAAGGCGGTATTGGTTCATAACGGTAACGAATATCCATATGTGCCCTTAGCTCATGCGGTTCATATGAAGGAATCATATGAGAGTTCTTTTAGAGCACATCCGTTATCATGGGTATGGTTGGGCAATATGTGGAGATCTAAAAGTAATAGCCCTTCTTCTTGAAAGCAACTAGGATATACAAAATATTGTTGCTTCTTTTGCGAATAGGACAGCCGTGCGATAGACCGTCATTATGTACAGAAGCTGTGGCCAGTACGTCAAGCACTAACTTCGGGACAAAAAAACGTTACCAATGAACCTCTAGTTGATCCCAAAAAGGTATTACTACCACCTTTACATATTAAATTGGATTTAATAAAGAATTTTGTTAAGGCGAAATGGAAGAGAGTTCTTGTATCTGAAACAAAAATGTCCAAGAATCAGTGAAGCAAAAATTAAGGAGGGCATATTTGTGAGTCCGCAAATAAGAGAAGTAATGAAAGATAAAACATTTGAGGATATGCTCAATGAAACTGAATTACGTTTTTCTTGGAAATGTGAAAGCTGACAATTACAAAGATCTTGTGACTGAACTACTTACTGCCTATAAAGAAATGGGTTGTAACATGTCCCTTAAAATTCACTATCTGGACTCTCATCTGGATTTCTTCCCCGAAAATTTAGGGGCGGTAAGTGACATGGGGGACGGTTCCACCAAGGCATTTCTTCTGTGGAGAAACGGTACCAAGGCAAGTGGAGTGCCAGTTTGCTTGCCGATTACTGCTGGACATTGTTAAGGGATACTCCAAAAATAAAATATCGCCGAAAAACATCGACAGTAACATTTTAAGGTTAATAAAATAATATTACAATAATATATCTATCGCTGTTTTCTTAAAAAACAAAAATACCTCATAGCAAAAGAACTATAGGGTAAAGAAGAAATATGTAGCTATTTTCTGCTTTTGTTGCAATTTTTACAAAATAAAGACTTTGTTTTGTTCATGTCACAAAAACAAGTGGATTTTTGTTTACCAGTGTAATTATAGCATTAGAATTTTAGCGGGAATTTCAGAATGTTCACATGAACGGCTTAAATTTATTAACTATTAATTATTAACAATGATTATAAAAATTGTTGGAAGTGGCCACCTTAATAGACATGCTTGCGCACCCGTGCACCCTTCTTAATTTTTTTTCCTATCGCAACTCATAAATCTAGTTATCCTGGAATAAATTACTTTTTACAAACGTCAATGTCAGAACAATACTTGTTGACTTAAAGTAAATTGTTATTTTTTTTTTTTTTTTTTTTTTTTTTTTTTTTAATTTTGGGTCATTGGAGTCATTTTACTTTTTCGCTAATTTTCAGTAAATTATGGTAAATTATACGAATGCGGAAATGGCGGCAATGCATTACGTGTGGCCTTGCAGATGGTAATGGAACAGAAGCCAGACGCATTTATCAGGAAAGATATCCTAATCGTGCCTTGTCAAATAACCGAATCTTTTCAAATATTCATCGCCGACTTAGCGAAACTGGTAGTTTCAATAAAAGTACTTCGGAAGGTAGACCTCCAACTGTCAGAACCCCTGAAATTGAGGAAGCGGCACTGCAAGAAATCGATGAACATCCTGAGACGAGTACGAGGAAGATCGCTAGAATATTTGTCACCAAATTGTTTGACGTATTTTGATTGACTTTTTGTTATACCCATACCACATTCCAAGAGTACAGGCATTCCTCCCCAGGGATTTCCCACAACGTGTGTACTTCTGTCAGTGGTATCTTCAGAGTATTTTTCTTCAGTCTACACCAATCAGAATATCGATCTGTATGAATGTAACATTGAATCCAAACTTAACGTATGCTCATATCATATTCCAATTTCAACTATTTACGAGAAGTTAGCTAAACTTGATACAAGAAAGGGACCGGGTCCTGATGCGATTCCCCCCTCACTCCTGAAAAACTGCAGCTTTATATTGTCTCGTCCTCTGTTTTTTATTTTTAACAAATCATTGGATACGGGAAATTTTCCAGATTACTGGAAACTCTCATATGTGACACCAATATACAAGTCAGGTAAAAAATGTGGCATTAAAAACTACCGCCCCATATCTAAACTTATATCATAACGGACTACTTAAGTTATGACTGCGCTAGTATTATAACTCCGCAACAATTTGGCTTTCGCGCATGCAAGTCAACAGAATTGAACTTGGTTGCCTATGCTAAATTTATTTCGGAAGCCCTGGAGATGGGGTGTCAGATAGATGCCATATACACCGACTTTTCCAAGGCTTTCGATAGAGTGAATCATGAATTAATAATTCAGAAACTAAATAAATTTGGTTTAGGTGGCATATTGTTGCAATGGATTAAAAACTTTCTTCTTAATAGAACTCAAATAGTCAAAGTAAAACGTTACTATTCTCATTATTATTCTGTTACTTCTGGAGTTCCCCAAGGTTCTCATCTGGGACCCCTTCTTTTTAATTTGTTTGTCAACGATCTAACTTCCTGTTTTTTCCAAATCGTCAACAACTTTAGAAATGCTATCGATTTACAGTATGATCTTAATAATTTATCCGATTGGTGCAAATACAATGGCATGGATTTAAATGTGGGAAAATATCACATTATTCGGTTCCAACGTTCTCGCTCAACAGCCCACTATATTTGACTACACAATCAATGGCCAACTTTTAGATAGTGTTAAACAAATTAAAGATCTTGGAATTATTTTCGACACAACCCTTAGCTTTAACCATCACATCTCTTCAGTTACAAGTAAATCTATGAAACTGTTAGGATTTATTAAAAGAACGACCCGCGACTTCACTGATATAACTGCTATTAAAACTCTTTATTGTACTTAGGAGTAGTTATTGTAGTTAGGAGTCACCTCGACTATTGCTCTTGAATATGGTCCCCACATCATGTAAAAATCGATCGTGTTTAGAACAATTTCCTTAGGTACATAGCCTTTAAATTACAAACGTTTTATGATTATGCTACAATGGAGCAGTTTTTAGAAATACCGTCTCTGGAAACCAGGGAGAAAACCTGATTTTACTTTTTAATATAATTAATGGAAGATATGATTGTTCTGAAATTCTATCGAAAATTAATCTTTTTGTTTGTACTCGTAATACCAGGCAATCACAATTATTTTATATTCCTTTTTATAGACTTAATAGTACTTTTAAGAATTGTATTCCTCGGATACTTAGACTGGCAAATTCTCTGGATAATATTATAATATTTGATTCCTCTGTAAATAGATTTAAGCACAACATTCAAAATAACCCAATGTAATTTTTATCAACTTATTGTTACCTAAATGGGCTTGCCCGTAAATATATAAATAAATAAATTACACTAAATGCGTCACACATTTTGTTCACAGACGAAGCAAATTTTTCTCGAAATGCTATTAAAAATGTCCATAACAATCATGTGATGAAAGAAAATCCGCATGCTATAACTGAAACCCATTTTCAAGAACAATTTTCGGTTAATGTATGGGCAGGAATTATTAGTAATCATCTATTAGGCCCATTTTTCCTACCAGGACGCCTTGATGGCCAGTCTTATTTGCATTTTCTAGAAGAAAAACTGCGTGGATTGCTTGAAGATGTGCCAATTCCGTTAAGGAATCAAATGTGGTTCATGCACGATGGAGCTCCTGCTCATTTCAGTTTAATTGTTCGAAATCATTTAAATACAGTTTATCCTGGTCGTTGTATAGGTCGCGGAGGATCTCAGAAATGGCCAGTAAGATCCCCAAATCTCAATAGTTTAGATTTATTTTTATGGGGACACCTTAAAACTCTAATGTATCAAACTCCCGTTAACACTGTAGAGGATTATTTGAACGAGTGCGCAATTCCATGCGAAGACGGGCGGAAACATGCCTATTAAGTGAAGGTGGCCACTTTCATCAATTTTTATAATCATTGTTAGTATTGTTAATAATTAATAATTAAATGTTAGTTTTGTTAATAATTAATAGTTAATAAATTTAAGCCGTTCATGTGAATATTCTGAAATCCCCACTAAAATTCTAATGCTATAATTATTATTGGCACTTGATTTTGTTTTATTTTTTCCGAAGGTAAAATAAGTTACTTACTTCTGAATTAATTAACATTTGATATGAAATGAACTCAATAGCGTGAAAAAAGAAAAAAGGCGATTTCTACGCAACAGTCACCGCATCAGATTCGATCCTGAAGTAAAAGGATTTTTATTTTTTTAAGGGAAAACCATGCGTCGGGCGAAAGAAAATCAAGAGATCAAATTTGCTTAGAATGAGGATTCCAAAAATAATTTTTATTTCAAGAATAGACAGTGGCGTACCATTTTTTCTCCAAAAATATTCAATACAAAACCCGTACGGACGCCACTGTTTTTACATCAGAAAATGCATCTTGATTCATAGAAGACGTGTGCTAAATTTCATAAAGATATCTACAATAGTATCACAGTTATTAAAAAAAAACTATTTCTTTTTCTGAAAATTTTATCGCCCTGTATCTCAAAAGTTAGGATGTTTAGGACATACGTCCATATGAAGTTTTTTCCTTAAAATGGGCCCAAGAATCGCCCCCTTAAATATTAGCATGTCATTAACGAACACCCTGTATATTCCATAATACAAAGTTGTACACAGAAATTCTTTCTAATTTTCTATAAGGTTCTGTGTGGTGGAAATTTCAAAATTGTCTATTCACTAATTTTAATATAAAATGTAAAAATCGACTTTTAAACTAAAATTTTGAGGCTTTATATATACAGGGTGAATCCTAAGTTGATACTTATTTAATTGTATAGAAGTCATTACAGTAAACAATTTTTTCAAAAAAATCGAAAATGTATCCAATACGGTCCATGTACTTCAACACAAACGCACTTTATGTATTCTCGTATCCGTTATCATACATGACATCCACGATGTTCCCGCAAATTATATGTTTCCCTATAGCCCCTTGAGTTACATTAATAAAAGTTTTGGGATTAGGATACGCTCTCAAGGTAAATTTAGTGAAATGATACTGTTAAAATCGCAAAGACAAATGATTCATACCTCTGTAACGTGTGGAGGGTGGGTTACCCCCACGGCACTTAGGCCTCATTAGGCCCATTGTGCATCCTCCTGAGATGATAGGCACCTCCTAGCTCGTGAGCCAGGTTACAGATTTAATGCAGTTGACAACGTCGCCAAGAGGTGCTTCTCTTATATCGACCGGTGTTAGCCGATACTCGCCGAACACAAATCTTCTAATAAATGAGAGCGTCGAGCAATCGTAAAGGATATGCTCGATGGTCGCATCTTCTTGTTAGCACCCTCTGCAGAGTGCGGATTCTGATAGCCCCATGATATGGAAATGCTTCCGTACTTCGCAATGACCAGTCAGAATGAATGCCTGTGACTAGGCGCAGATTCTGTCTAGCCATAGTCAAGTATTTGTTTGCGGAAGTGTTGTTAGAATAACTTAAGAGATCTCTGGCAACTCTGCAGTTTCTTGTTTCATCCCATCTTTCCTTGAATTTCACAAGGGAATGTTCTTTGATTAGGTCTGTTACTACCGATTTTGTCAGGTCAATAGAAGGGCCAGGTAAAAAAGGAATTTGGTTGGCTGCTTTCTTGGCAAGTGAATCAGCAAGACGATTGCCTTTCGATGTGGCGTGACCTTTGATCCATCTTAAGGTGACCACATTGTTGATGGACACTTCGGCCAACGCTTCGTGACATTCTAGTACTAATTCTGAGTAAATTCGTGGTCTGTTCAGGGTAAGTAGTGCTTGTCTGCTATCCGTATAGATGAGCATGTTCCTTCTAGTGATATTGTTTCTGTTTTTTTTTTGCTGTTATGAGAATCCCTCTTAGCTCTCTTTGAACTACACTAGCACTTTTGCTCACAGACCATTTTAAGTTTAAAAGAGGTTGAGTGGTGTGTACACACTGGGTAATAAGAAATGAATGTAACGTATTTAAAGTGTGTGATAAAATCATAAACATACTTAATTTTTGAAACAGAATTCCAGTGTCGGATTTAAACTTATTTATTTTCGACTTTTTTAAAAACAAGTTACTTGAAAAATATGTTTGTGTTAACGACTTCTATACAATTGAAAAAAATACTTATCAACTGCATACAAAATAAAATTTCATATTTACAAGAAAAAACCTTAAACTAAGAGTTATCAAATTGTCTTCCAAAATTTTGTAGCTGCAGCATAGGAGGTACTTCAGGTGGTTGTTCTTGAGGGGGGAATTCTACATAATTTCGCACGCAATGCCTTTGAGGATGTAGCGGCATCTGAGGAGGCATGGTTGCACCAGGGTGTAGTGGAAGCATATTTGTAGGTACAGCTGGATGAGCACTCGACATTCCTGGTTGTCCGGGATAATTAAAAAACCTGTAAAATAAATTAACATTGTGAATTTTTAGGAATAAGTACCTACAAAAAAAAATAATACAAATATGTTGTTCTTCAAATTAAACTTTATTGCCTACCAAAAATATTAACTGACTTGTTTTAAACCTGAAATCGGACATAATAAATAATTGAAAAGGTAGCCCGTTCTCCCTTCCAAAATGATTAACACGGCCCATTGATTGAAAATGTCCAGGACAAGATGCGATCTATGGCGAATGGGGTTTTTCGGGTTTTCTTCGCCTGTGGGGGAGACTGTCCTAAAATAACAGTCTGATAAAATGACATAGGCGGCTTTTAAATTTCCCAACGCACTTTCAAAGACTGTTGGCACCATCTATGGAACAATAGAGTAACTTGCAAGTAACTCATGAAATGTCATCAACGAATTCGCTTATTTACGGCTTAAGTAATGATTTATGTGTTTCGACTGCTCCTGATTTTTAAGCGAACTAACTTAAAACTTTAAGAAAAATACGTTTTTCAGTTGAACTATTTAAAAGTGCCGTTCTACAGAGAATATAAATATTATTTTAGTGTGCAGTTTTTCAATAAAATGTACCTATATTTTTAGATTAACTAATTTCCTATTATTGTTTTTTTGTGTCATCGGCATCAACTGCTAAGGTTACTAGCCTCGTGTTCTGTGTAGGCTTTGTGACTATTTCCCAGCGCCACTTTAGAAACAGCACTGTTAATTAGAACCCAACAGTGTGTGTTTGTCGTTTAAAATGACATACCTCCATTCATTATAAAACGACATAGGCACGTCATTTTATCCCAGTAATTTGTACCTAGGTATAATATTGTGAAATTTCTCTTTATTTCAGAATGGTGGGAAAATACAAAAGGAAGAGCGATCGGCAATCCTGGAGTGAGGTTTCTATGAGGTCAGCTATCGATGCAGTGCGAAGGGGCGATATGGGGTGGCTTGCAGCTTCAAAACAATTCAATGTTCCGCAAGCTACGTTAAGAAGGCGAGCTCAGAATAAAAACAAAAAAGTAAAAGGTATTGAAAAAGGCCTTGGACGTTTTTCTACAACTTTTCCAATGGAAATGGAAAATAAACTGGTTGAACATATTAAGTCACGGGAAAATATGTTGTTTGGACTTACTGTAACCGAACTAAGGAAACTGACTTTTGAGTTTGCCGAAGCAAATAACTTACCACATCGGTTTTGTAAAGATGAAGAAATGTCGGGGTTTGAATGTCTTTGGGGATTTCGTATGCGTCATCCAGAAATTAGTTTAAGAAAACCAGAATCATTTTGAACCCTACAACATATATAATATCGACGAATCTGGCCTCGCTTCAGTCCAAAAACCACCTAAAATATTTGCCACTAAAGGCAAGAAACAGGTGGAATGCATAACCAGCGCCGAACGTGATAGCCATACCACCGTAATATGTTGCATGAATGCAGCAGGATCTTTCATCCCCCTGCATTAATTTTTGCAAGAAAGAAACATGAGACAGAACTGGTGAATGATGCTCCTGTAGGAACGATACTGCTTTGCCAAGAAAATGGGTGGGTAACTGGCGAGCTATTCTTACTTTCGTTGAAACGTTTCGCAAAGTTTACTCATGCTTCATTGAAAAATAGAGTATTGCTAATTTTAGATGGTCACACCAGCCATAAATACTATCCGGCCCTAAAATATGCAAAGAAGAAAGGCATAACTTTAATGTGTTTGCCTCTCCATTGCACTTACAGAATTCAACCATTAGATGTAACTTTTTTGTCCATTAAACACCTACTACAACCAAGAAGTTGACTGATGGATGAAAACCAATCCTGGTAGTGTGGTAGGGTCATTTCAGATAGGAAATATTTTTTCTGTAGCCTATGGTGAGGCAGCAACCACTGCAATAGCGTGTTCTGGCTTTCTAAAACTGGCATATTCCCATTTAACCCAGACGTGTTCCCAGATTACATGTTTATGCCCAGTTTGGTAACTGACCATCCTCACTTAACGGCAGATACTAATCATGATCAAACTGCAGGCCCATCTATCCAAAAAAGCCCAATCATTCAAACTACGATTTCCAGAGACGTATAAAAAAAAATGACGAGGTCAAAAGAATTCGACTTTTAGAGCTGTCTCCACCTCCAAAATAAGAACCATCTTCAGAAGGGAGAAAAAAGAGAAGAACGCAGGTGTCTGACGAGTTAACAAGCACTCCATAAATGGAGGAAATTAAGTCGAAGTACGAAAATAAAATTGAGACAGAAAGAAAAAAGTCGAAAAGGAAAAGGGTGACAAGGAAAATAATTGAAAAAATCTGATGTGTCCAACACATGACTTTCCTATCTAGTTATTATATGCTTTCTCCGGTAATTTTGTACAACCTATTGCAGCACCTCTATAAATGTTTAGAGGATAAACTAAATATATACATTTTTAACATACATGCCTCGAAACATTTTTATATATTCATTAAAAACGAAAATAATGAAAAATTTAAATTTAGCGCTTTTCCTACAATTTTTTCATTACGGTCCATTTTAGAAAAATTATGTATAAACAAAAATTATAGAGATCGATATCGCAAACAACTTTTAGTTCAACAATTTTCATAAAAATCAGAATTTTGCACATTTTGTCAAATTTCTCGAATACGGACCATTTCAGGAAATTTTTACATAAAGCAAAAATTATAGATAATAATATTAGAAGTAACTTTTATTTGAACAATTTTTTTCTCCAAACATAGTTCATTAGACACTGGAATAGGGACCGTGCGTGAAATATAGAGGCAGCACTACTGCCGAAGTTAGCCCTCTCTAGTGTTCAATTTTAGAATTAAATGGATTAAATAGATACCGGCCCGTAACAAACAATCGTTTACATGATCAAAATGATATAAAATGTGAAAAATTATTAAAATCTGGACATGTATATACATTTTAAGCAAAAACATTTAAATGGTTAAGTGACAATAAATTGGGTGCCTGTAAACGTAACGGACACACGAATTTCGAAAAAAAATTTTAACTAAAAAATAGTACTAACTGCATATATGAAATAACAAAAAAAAATTTGCGGGTTACGTATAAATAACAGAGAAATTTTAATTTTAACCTGCCGATTTTGGTGTTTCTAACCTAACATTTTTTCAATTTTCGTGTAATGTATGTGCATGGTTATCAAGAATTTCAATTTTTAACAAAACCCAGATTAATAATTGACATAATCCAATAGGTATTTTTATGAATCGAATACTTACATGTTTGATTTTACTGTCTGCTTTAATCTCATCTCACGCAATTATAGTTATGAAAAATAGTTTTTAACTATTTCGAAGACGCCCTTTTCTTAAAAATACAAATTTTTTACGAAACTTACATTTTAGGCTTTAGGAAGGAGCGTATTTTTCAAATATACCATCGGAAACCCCATAATTTAACGTTTAAAAAAAATGCATTTAAAAGCTTACGAGGATTATTAACTGATCATTTATGTAAACTTATTCATTAGAATTTAGAATTATATCTGTCATTTCAAATATTCGCGGTGTTGCCAAGTGTAATTAAAATCAACGAAAAAGAAATTACCCTATTTTTTAAATAGCATTTCCATACACTTTAAAAAGCATTTCTTTAATTTATTTTCAGTCACATCTGACGATTTATTTAACCATTTTGATTGAATTGTTGCAGTACATAATAATTAAATAATAATATTACATCATCTAAAGTAATAAACAAGTACTTTTCGAAAATTTTTAAACATAATTTTATTATCACTACTTTCTCAGACAGCACAAAGACATCTTAAAGACGTCCATAAGACGTCTGTCAGAGACATGACAGATGTCTAAAAGACGTCTTATGACGCCGGCAAGACGTCTTAAAGACATCTTTAAGACGTCTGATGTTACAAAAGGTAACGTTCTCAAGACATCTTGAATGTGTCTGTTTTTCGACATTGGTAAGACGTACTCTCGGATTTAGTTTTAAAAGCTTCCGTAAATTCCTTCTATACAAAATAAAACACATATTTTCTATAAACATTATTATTAACAAAACACTGAAACATTTCGTTAAAAAAAGTAACATTACAATTTTTTTTAATTCTTCCTCTATTAGTGGTTAATCTTCTGCCTGATGCTCTTCTGAGCCAGTCTGGGTTGCAATAATTTTAACTGCGCTGTGCAAAATATGTATTATAGCTCACTCTGTCAAATTGGCTTTAATAAGATTTTCAGTAGATAGTGTGGGTTAAGGGTGGTTAAAGAATGGCAATCTTCCTGTACTTCCAACTCTAATTCAGATATATTTGCATCCGATGAATCTTCTTAGTCAGCTCTAGACGCCTAGATGTACTTAAAACACTAATAAGGGTTATTCTATTTGGTTTTTCATCATATGCAGTAAACTTTTATGCTCATAAATTCACAGTAATTCACGGCACAAGACACAAATAAAAAAATCAACGAATAACGAAAAAAACTAACCTCTCAGCTTTCATCTTATCTTCAACGACAAATGACAACAAAAGAACAACGCGAACGCCACGATGCCACGAACCACGGAACCCCAATAATACTCACATTCAGATACACGGCCTTGTTTAAATTCTACTGTTGAAAAGAGACAAAGCATAATAAAAACATTCGCTTCGATCGTTGAACCAAGTTCCGGTCAAGTTGAAAGAGCGCGTAATTCAATTTGTCTTAATATGTTTTAATTGTTAATTTTATTTAGAGTATTTATTATTATTATTTTTATGTTATCAAATATTTAGTTACTCTAATGAACAAATGCTCGTGAATAAATAAAAAAAATAGGTAAATTATGTAAATTAATAAAAAAAATTTAAAAATAAATTTATATTTTGTGAAATTAGAAACGACAAGTAAGCCAGTACTTTTTTTAATGTTACCATTATTTTTTAAATAGATAGGCATTTAAAAGACGTCTTTAAGACGTCTATTTATGTGTCCTAAAAGACGTCTTTATAAAGACGTCTTTAAAACG